CCTTTCCTTTAAAGAGACTCGACACGGCGACTGGTGGACAGGAAGTGCGTCGTCGTCAATAACAATGCGATGTTTCGCCATTGGTGTTTGGCGAATCTTCGATGTCGTGGCAAAACAGTCACTGTATTCGACAAGGAGATCAACCAGTTGCCGGCGCTTCGTAGCTGGGAGCTCGGGGTTGATGTCGAGCGGCGGTGGCGTCATGCTCTTCTGCTGTGGCGACGAGGTTTCCTCGGAGATTGCGGTGACCACGGCTGGCGCCTGAAGCTCCTCGACGTGGCCCACGGTGGCACCCTTCGTTAGGTGCTGCGGCTCCTCTCGAAAGTTCGTCACAAGAACAGTTGTACGTCTTTCTTGGAGATCCGTTACGCCTCTTGCGACACCAATTCCTTTTTCGAGGAGCAGTTGGACGCTGCCGGGAAGAGCTCAGGCAGCAGCTTCCTGAGCTCTTCCCGGATGATGCCGTGGACAATTGCACGAAGATTGTCCGCGCTGATGCCGCCCTCGTCGAATCAAGAAGACGTCAGCGTCGAAGCAGCAGGCATGCCGGCCAGTCGGTTGTAGTGGGTGGCTCGAATTGACAGGGCCCGCTCGATATTAGTTGCCTCGGCGACGAATTCATCGACAGTAGTTGGTGGGTTGCGAACAAGGCCACCGAAGATGTCACTCCTCACTCCTTTCATCAGGACGCGCAGCTTCTTCTCCTCGGTGGACTGAGGGTCAGCGCGGCTGCTCAGGCGGAGGACGTCTTCAACGAAGCTGGTGACCGTTTCGTTGGGCCCTTGAGTTCGTACTTGAAGGAGGTCTTCCGCTTGCTGTTGTCGTGTCTGGTTCGTGAATGTCTCCTTCAGGCCAGCGATACAGGTGTCCCACGACGTAAGCGACGCCTCGTGGTTCTCGAACCACTGCCTCGCGGTAGCCTCCAAGGAGAAGTAGAGGTTTTGGAGGCGCTGCTCAGTGGTCCATCCATTATGGCGTGCCACACGTTCGTAGTGCAGAAGCCAGTCCTTTACGTCTTCGTGGGTCTTGCCATGGAAGATTGTCGGGGTTCGCTGGGCAACAGGCAGGTAGATGACGGCGGCGGCGGTCGGGGACTGCGATTGCTGGTCGTCCATCGTCGGCTTCGTTGGTTGCTTGGTCCTGGGTGGCAGAAGTCCGTATTCCGGGTGTAGACCTTGGGTGCGGCGACTGGTCCGAGTTTCAGGTTCTGCGTCGAGTGGTCTTCTCACCGGGCTCGGAATCGGGCTTGCACTGCGGGCCCTGGGAGGGGAACGCTGCACGGGCATGCGCTACCCTGTACCTCCACCAAAATGTCACGAATGACAAGTGATGATGCAGCAAATGACTGTGGAAACTGAATGTTTAATGGGGACGAACTTGTGCCCGAAAATAAAAGGTGAAAGAAAGATAACAACAGAGCGTCGCGGGCGGCGAAGCAGCGGGATCGAACGCTGAGGCGAAACTGACTCTGGCTTGCCACGCGGAGCCGCTTTTGTACACGCATTGGCTTCTGGAGCATTCGATGTAGAAGGTTCGACGCGTAGAACATTTTAACCTCGAATCAGCTAGACGGTTCTCGAATTCACTAGAACATCACATTACAGTGTCAACAAAAATGCGTGGCCAGAAGTCGAACCCTGGTCCTTCGCGTGGGAGGCAAGCGCGATAAAACCGTTAAGCTACGGCCGCGCTGCCTACTTGGCGCACGGCAATATCCTGAATTGGGATAGCAGCAATCAATTTAGGCCAGCGTAGATGAACCTGGGAACGAATTAGCAGGGCTTATGAATGTTAAAACATAATTATGCCTAGTTCACTAGGATTAAACATTGTTTACATTTAGAAGTATCCTGTTGGACAAGAGTCCATGGTATGAATACCGTATATGGACTTTATTTTTGCTGGCTCAATATTTTCTGAATTTCGCAAAATGTGGGTTTTGGTAATATTTCGCAGGCACACAATTATGCGATTTCTAGTGGTGTGCTACGCATTTGTTACCATGGGGCTTTTTTTTGGTGATCAAACACCAAATTTCGAGAGTTGTATAATTTGCAAAATAAAGGTCCTCGCAAAAATGTGACCAAATGTTGTGGTCATTTGTTGTGGAATTGTGGTCATTTATTTAAGCGTATTGCAGGCTAAGAAGTCAGGAGGGGAAAGCACATTTGGGTACGCATCCTGTTGAACACACACACACACGCATGCAGTGAACAAATCTTCAGCTTCAAACAGAGGTTTGTGTGCAGCAACGTTCTGAGCACCGGAACAACATACGCATATATAACTGTCTGCAAAAATGTGCACACAGCTGTCTGGAAAGCATGCGGAAAAACATATTCATAATAACACCCCCCCGCACAATGCATTCGCAGATATACGTCCACTTTTGCACATAAATTGTATTCGCTAAGCTTTAAAAAAAAATGAGTACCAGCGAAAAAAAAAAAAAAAGAAGTATATATTGAAAGTTTACCCCGGAAGTGCTTTTCTATCGTGGCAATAATGTTCCGCCGCAGAAAAACTTCCCTCGGAAGATCGTTCCCGTCAGATGTTGAACGAACAAAGAATTATTACATGAAAGTGTTAGTTTGGGCATAAAGTGGGGTCAAGGAAAATTTATGACACTGTTGTGTCTGTTTTGTATTTGATATTGTTATAAATAGGGAGGTGTGAGGGCTATTCTTCCGTGTAAGGTGAGAAATAAGAACTTCAGGCTCGCCACTCTCCTGCACTCCGCTAATGTATCAATATTATTAGTCCTCGTAAGTAAGGTGGCAGAGTCAAATCTGTCATACTTTTTTTAAATGCACATATTTTTTTTGCAAATTATCTTAAATGTTAACATCAATAGCTCTGTGTGGATCCCAGACTACGCTCGCATATTCTAACTTCAGTCTACATAAAGAATTGTATGCTAGTAATCTGAAATTCAAAGAGGCATTCCTGAGTTTCCGGCGAAGGAAGCCAAGCTTTTTGTATGCAGCAGTACAAATATTTTGAATATGGCTTGCCCACTTTAAGCTTTTTGAAATGGTCACCCCAAGATACTTAAACTCGTCTACCTCACAAATAATTACATTATTAAAAATATTAAAAAAAACGGATGTGGCATTTGTTTTATTAGTTAAACAGAGTACCAAAATGGTCTTATCTGAAATGAATATCATGCCCCAAATATCATACCAGCTCTAAATTCTTGCAAGGCAAATGTTCAAGGATTCCTGATCATTAAGGGACGGTACTGTTTGAAATAAGACACAGTCATCGGCAAATAATCATACATTGATGGGTTCATTTCTTATAATCATGATGTCATTGTTTTATATTGAGAACAAGAGCAGGCCGTTTTCTGTGGTTTAGACACAACCTCCAAAGATAATCAAAGTTGTGAGTCATCGAAGGCACACCCTCAATACTAGAAATGGACAAAAAATTGGATACCCTTTTTTTTGTGCCTTCTAAAAATCGCTTCCGGTATCTTTCTCCTCCTTTATTCTTCCTCCCCAGTCCAGAATCGGTTTTGGTTTCGAGCAGTTGCGTTTTTTTACTTTATTAAATATATATGTGACATTGTAGCAAAATATTGATTGGGTAGTCTTCTGACACCATAATGTATTGCCTGGCTGTAAATAGAAAAGAACTTCTGGGGGCTGTATACTGCGTCAGCTTTAGGATGAAACTAGTGTTTTCACAGATGGGGCATGAGTTCCGTCCAAACGCTGACACAGTAGTCCTGTCCAGTCTGTGTCATGCAGTGGCCTTTAGTGATGCATGAAAATTCAGCACTAAGGCTTTCTTATCTAGGAGGTGTTGACACATTCCTGTGTGCCACAAGAAGGAAGCCTATGAGGTTCTAAATTTGTTAAATTTAGGACCTCCACTGATTTCCCAGTGCCATATCTAAAATATAAGCAAATGAAAAACATTATTCTTTTTGCATAGTCATCGATGCACAAGCTAGTCCTACCACTTCATTGTTGGTCTGTTTCGGGTTTCTTTTTTATATATAATCATAAGCCAATATATCTTGCACGCTTTATCCTGTTTTGGTCAATTGCCTTCGTGGACCTGTTTTTTGCCGCTGCGACAAGAATACGCTATTTCAGCGTTTTCGGACATTTGCACATTATGTATCCACAAACGGCTTGGTACGTGCTACAATTTGTGCTGTCTGCGTAGTTAAGACCTTTCTACTGACTTTAGTAATCTGATCTACTTGCGAATGTCTACTTTTGTTAACTGCTGGCCAATACTATAGAATCTTGCTGAGTTGTTAAATGTTGCTCTACTTCAAACTGTAGGGGCTGGCAGGAATGCCTTTTTCACTTACCCCCCTACCGAACTATGCCAAAGAGAATGAAAAAAGAATGATGCAATCTATAACAAAATGTTTATCAGAATTGTTAATGGAGAGTGCCTTTAAAGGGGGGGGTGCAACGATTTTAACATCAAAAGAATTTGCATCTCATCGTTTTTACAGTGTTTATTGTGTCCCGGAGGACGCAGAAAATATCTCATTTATTAAAAAATGTCTCGATTCTGCCGCATAATCGCAAAGCAAAAGTCGAGCTTTTTCCCCCACCTGCAGCCCCGAGTGGCAGCCGAAGGAACTACGGCGAAAAGATTAGGTGACCTCGCTCGGCTCTAAGCTGCATCGTAACGCCTGCTCATGTACGCAGAGAGAGGGAGAGGAAACGTCCTCCGAGAGAGCACACGGGAAGCTACATGGTACCTCGAAATACGTCACTGGGAGGGGGACCAAGTGTGACCCTGAAGACTGGGAGTGAGTCGAGGGGTCCCACAAATGCCAATATTTATCTTTTTTTTTTCTACAGAATAACTAGGACACGCAAGGCGAAATCGGTTTTCTGTTCTTTACTTTAAACGTGAAAGACGGCAACATCCACAAATGTTTGACCGAAGTCCGGAAATTGTTGCATCCCCCCTTTAAACTGGCTCGGGTCATCTGGTCCGGTGGTGTGCTCTGCTGTTTGCAGCTATATCAAGTTGTACGGCTACCAGTTCAGCAAGGAGGACCACGTGCAGCTCATCCACTTTATGCTCGAGCTGATCGTGATCCCCGGCCTGGAGCTGAATGCTGTGCAGAAGATCGCTCACACCCTGGGACTGCTCATGAAGTGAGTACAGTGGAAAACAAGACTTCCTCCAGCAGGGCTGAACATCTTTCTCTTTTTGCATTTGTAATGGGAGAGGAGAAGCAACTGTTTTGTAATAACATTGGGAGACAGGATGCTCTACAGGGGCCCATAGTACCGTATTTACTCGCATAATCCTCGCACTTTTTTTTTGCGGAAAATCGATGGAAAGTTGGGGGGTGCAAGAATTACGTGGGAAAATTTTCTGCAAAAACGTAGAGCTCTTAAAAAAAACAAAAAAAAACGGGCAGCTGCAAATTGGGGTTTTTGTGCCGGCAGCTACCTACAAGGTTTGAGAACTACCAGTACAGGACTTACCTTAACAATAAAACCACAGGTTCAACACAAAGCAAGATTTATTTATAAACACAGTCTGAGTTAACACTTACCTACGTCGCTGATAACGACCTGAGTCCGAATCAGTCCTAGCATCGCTGGTCGTTGCTCCTCGTCATCACCTCCCGATTTCTCGACGACCACGGGCTGCGCGAACGCTGTCTCTAGTTGCGTGCACGCGAAACCGGCTCAACGACAGTGTGACTAGCGTCTGAGAGATGGCGCTAGGCCGCCTAGAGCGCCTTGGGCACTTGGAGCATTAAACGGCGCCGCGCCGGAAAATGCGGGCGGTGGATAGCACGTGCATCATGCGGGGTTCGCGAACAGGCGACTTTCGCCGCTTCAGTTTTGGGGGTGCGATGATTACACGAGGAAAAGGAGAATTCAATTTTTGGTGGCTCACTTTAGGGGTGCGAGGATTACGCAAGTAGATATGGTAGGGATGTTTTATGGGGTGGAACAGAGATAGGTGTTCCTTAGTTTTCGCTTACTGATCTGTGACCTTTCAGAGGAACTCCTGTTTTCTTTTATTTTGCAATTGCAGATTGGCCTTTAGGAAGGAATGAGAAATGACATTAAAAGTACACTGGCGAAGTATTTATAATTGCAGAACATTTGACTGGAGCACAATCTACGAGGGTTGAACGACCCGTAAAAGATATCCATGGCTCGAATTTGGGTTTTTGTGTGGATATTCATATGCTGCATCTATGGCTTCATAGAATTTGCATCTCGGCTCGTAAATGCATTTCGTGACGGCTTTATCAAAGCAGTTTAAAGAAAGGTGTTTTTTGGCTGAGCAGTATCTCCTCAAAAGGGTACTAAAGTGGTTCATAAGATTGTCTTTTTATATATTCAAGCGTGCCCTTTTCTTTTTAAATTAAAACTGAACATTATGACACGCCCCCTTTTAGGAGATGTATCTCAGAAAAGGGGCATGTCGTGATGCGATTGCATTTTTAAAAAAGAAAAAAAAATCGTGCCCTATTTTATTTTTCATTTTTTAAGATACTTAGGAAATGTATAGATTGCCACGCGCGTTGCCGAATGGTTACCGCGCTCGACTGTTGCGTGGAAGGTCTAGGTTCAATTCCAGTCAGTGGAATGTTCTTTTATTTATTCTTTCAACTTGGCGTTCTCGTAAGTTCGACAACATTGTCGTCTGATTGGGTTCCGAATGTTGTACGCCTAATGTTCCGAAAATCCACGCGGGTACATAAGGGACTCCGCATGGCGAGCGGATTCGGTCTTGCTCCAGCGTTCTATCCTGCTGTTTCGCTGCCATCGACGCCTGCGACGCTAGCCTTTATCTATTTTGTTTTGGGCACAAGTTCGCCCCTTTAACCCTTCAACCTTTAACTGAAGAAACATTTAGTTTCTTCAGTTATTCGCCGCCTCTTCATTTGTCATTTGAGACAAAACATTGAGTTTGCACCACAAGAAGACAGACTCGCCGTGACTGCTTTTTACCAGCAACACTGGGCGCCCTCTCTGACGCAGTCATTTTCTTTCACCCCTGCAGGAAGCGTGAGCTGCTCTCCCGCGACGACCTCTCGGTGGAGTGGAGGCCATTGTACGAGCTCTACGAGCGGCTGCTCTACTCCCCCTACGAACACCTGGGCATGCTCCTGCTTCCCTCGTGAGGAGCCCACACCCTTTCAGTCAATCAATCGTTCAGTTATTTTTATTGCAGTAAACGCACATTGCAATCTGTTCCATCCGTCGCTTCAGATACCTTACACATCCGGCTTTTTAAGTGTACGTACGTTGAAACACGTGAATGCAGGCCTCCCTTGGGCTGTGTGGGTTCAAGCTGTGTTCGCTCCCTTGCCAATACCGTATCCGTACCTGGTCCAGGGGGGGGGGCAAATTTTTGGAAAAAGGTGTTTGCACTTGGTGCGTAGTTTGCAGGTAAAAAATTCTACATGGCGCACCTTAACATTTCGTGCTTTATTTGCTCACAAAGACGCTTGCACCTTACATAAATCATAATTAGCAGAATCTTTCACTCACCATCTAGAAAATAGCAAATCCTCGTATATTTTGCACCTGTAGGTAGTGTGCACCGTGTAAATGAGTAACTTTTAAGCGTGTATATTCTGCGGTGTGTCTGAATTTCGAGAGAATGTGAGATATCCAAAATAAATTTCTTAGGCTTTATTGAAATATTTAATGTTTACGTGGGTTCCTGCATGGGCCAGCGATTTATTTCATTGGCTACAGGCCAATTGCAGGGGTATCACGTTTCTTAACTCCACAATAATTGTTCAATCGTGGCTGGGCACGGAAGATAAGGGGGGTGTCTTGAATGTGGTTTTTTTCGAAGGGTGTCAGAAGCTCGCATCTTTAGAGCATTTGCATAAATCGTCCTCATTTAGTGTTCAAAAGCTCTCGTGCGAAAACATGGGTCGTTTCAAGATTTTTACATGACGTACTTCGAGGATTCATGCTGAACACTTTTTATTTTGTCGGAGAGCTGTTTCATGGACTTTTTCAAATTTGAGTTGTTGCTCAGCTGAAATGAATTAGGTTGGTTTCCTGTATTTTAAATGCATCTTGGTCTTTTACTGGGTGCAACCTGGTGGCATTCGCCTCTCTGAAGCCATTGCAAATTGGATGGATGTTCCGGATCCCATCGCCATCATCGGCGATTAAGTCATCATCTCACCAGCGTCCGCTGACCTCTGCCAAGGTTCTGGCTGTGGTCATATCCCAGTAAAATCGAGATCAATGTAGCCTTTTTTCCCTAAATCTACAAAGCAACTTTCATCGTGATGATTACAAGATAGGGGTTACAAGGGGGCCCACTACTACGTGGGGGTTAGAAGTTACCTTCGCGTAATAGGGGAAAATAAAAAAACAACAAAAAAACAGCTTTACTAAAACTGTGTTTTTTTCTGTGTCAACTTGTTTACCTCTCAAATGTGTGCCACTTACTGTGATTTGACTCTCATGAAACCTTTTGTTAAGCATGTAAAGCTTATAAACGGACCTGAAGCATGCTCATAAAGTAAAGATACTGATGTACAAAAGGTAAAAAGAAAGTTTTGCTTTTATGGTAGAGAAGTTCTGGAAATTCGAATATAACAAAGGAACGATTCTAGGAAGTTTGTAATATTGGTGTATGCATTTTAAGGACTGGTATAGTCAACATACTGGTGCTTTGAGTCTTGTACTGCATTTTATGCGCCACAACTATGGCAACGAAATTGCATTTGACTGGCCAGAACAAAATAAAGTAAGATTTGCACTTAATAATTTTTTTCTTGGTATACTGGCTATTTGCAAATGTGAGGAGCATCTTTTTTTTACGTGCATTTTGCGAGTGAAATCAAAGCTTAAAATGTATTTTAGGAGAAGGACCCTCGGTTGCTGCTCATCCAGTCTCAGTTTGGTAACCGTCACTATTAGTTTTCACCTGCCAGATTGCTAAGCCCAGTCTGGCCTGACCTAAGTTCTTTTTCTTAAAAATGCACCCGAGTTTTTTTAGAGTCTGAGTTGAGCCTTTCCATCTTCACCTGCAGAAACTTGGAGACTAACCTGAAGCAGCTGATACGCTGTTGCCGGACGTGAGTGCTCCACTCCTACTTCCCATGCCATGCATTCTCAGGGCGCCTTCTTCATTTTCTAGGGGTCTGCAAATGGTGTTGGGAATTGAATGGCGCCATGTCATGCGTAGCCTGCACAGTGCGAGGGAAAGCCACAACAACCGTTTCTCTCAGCATTGTGGAAGCTAGGGACGACAATGCGCTATTGCATGGATTCTCGAACTGGGTTCCCTAGAGTATTCTCGTGGGTTCCTCGAGCTCTTAAATTCCCTCGACCGTCCCTGTGCCTAAATAAAGCGTTTTTCTAGTTTCAATATTTGAGGAGATCCGAGTCATTCACCGATGCATAACTGTGTGCTAAACACTTCCTAGTGTGTGCATTATTGTTTACAAGGTTCATGGGCCTTTGAACTGCTTTATTTCATTCTGCCGAGGCTGGGGTGGGTTCCACGGTTATCAGTGAAGAGACAGGCGTTCTTAGACACGGAAAACTTCGAGAACCCTTGTACCATTAGGTTTCAATGACTATTCCCACACCCCTACTATTTACTTAAAAATCATTCTGATTTGTGGAACAAGGACTAGGGATCCTCTCGCGTATTATCAATGTTGCCTTTAGGATGGCTCTGAGTACGTGAATGTTGTGCTCTTTTGTGAGCCCCAACGTCATCTCTGCCTCGTTTGCCGGTCTCTTACTGTGCGTAGTCATGAGAATCTGCACACTATCCGAGAATGTTGATACGTCTGTTGGCATACTTTCGAGTACGTATGAAAATAGACCTGTCGCAATGGGTGCTGCACCCTCTACCTTTTTGCTGAAATGAATTCTGGGAACTGGCCGTGTAGAGCCAGCTTTAGCAGCCAGTAGATACAATGTGTGCAAGCGAGCGAGGGCAGGTGTGCTCCTTTACTATCTTTGTATTCAGTGTTACGTGGTGGATGCTGCAAAAGCAAGGAGCATACAGGACGCTCCCATAATTCACAGTGTGATTTGCGCGTCGCCTGGTCTCTTTCGTTACATCTGCCCAGAAATTCGAGCTTTGCGATTGCTCGAAAGAGAAATGAGCACACAGGTGAGCCTTTAACGTAATGTAATTAAACCCGAGGCACGTAAAGTTTAGTTGCAGTAAGCGATTGCCTGTTCGCGCGCACACTGATGTCGTCCGGGTGGGGTGACCCGAAGCAGCTCGGGAGAGACATCTATGGGTTTCCATACTCGCTTCTAGGGAGACAGGTATTCCCCGGAGTACACTAAAGATTCTTTGAGCATTCTCGCATAGTGAGATTGCTCGAGAATGGGACACTAAACACGCCAGTCAGGGACACTTTCTAGGCACCGCAGTAAAGAGACGAGAGGTTAGCGAGGCCCCGCGGATGGTCGCCACGTTTGCGTGCCGACGACCGTGTCCCCCTCCAGGTACTTCTCCGAGGCGTCCACCCAGGAGATGCTGGACGAGTGGCTCCCCCTCATGTGCCCCTTTGACGTGACCATGCACAAGGCGGTGGCCTACCTGGAGCTCTTCCTGCCCACCATGCTGCCTCCGGAGCAACACCACAGGGGCTTCAGGTGGGCACCCCCTGTGGCCCCTTTCTTTCCCTCCGTCGTAGCACCGTGCAAGGTACGAGGCCATACCCTGCAGCTGAACGAGGACGGCGTGAATTCACGAATCGATTGACCCTTCACTCTTTTCGTACCGCGCCCACGATTCATCGATCAGCCGCGAGCAACGGTTTCTACGCGCCACCAAAATTCAAATTTAGTGCGCGCAAGCAGGTGGCGCCACCTCATGGATGGTCACGGAACTATGGCTTCGATTTCGATTTTGTTTTGCACTTTCTTCCAGACTGATGGGCTATCAAAAGTAAATCTCTGCACGGGTCTGTCACTTGTCAAACATGATGTCCCACTGACATTGGGGACTGCCGCAAAGACGGCCTCGATCGAGCAATTAACCGCTTTTGTTGCTTACTTTCTGGATGAGAGCAGCAGTGAGGGCTGTGGGTGATGGGTCGTTGGATCTGAGCTCCCTCAACGACGTTTATCTCCGAGGTCTGGAGTGTCGTTAAGGAGCGTCGTTTTAGCTTTTTAAGCTGTCCCAACCCGTAGCACGCATCTCATATGTGCTGCGAGCCATTGAACCAGCAGCAGAAGAGAGGTTGGAGCAATGTTGTGACAAAAAAAGGTTTTTGGGGCAACGCTAGATTTAGCGGGAAACGAGAGCTTGGTTGGTAACATTCAATCTCGTCGTAGTAAAGTACACGGCACGGGTACAGGTTGGCGCAAGCAACCGCCGGATTCGAAGGTTTCAGCTGTAGTACCCTTCTATACCTATGATATATTATTGGAAGCAGGGTGGACAAAAATAATAATTAAAAAAAAATCTGATTTATGTGATTTATATTAGATTTTTTATTATTTAAATTGCTGATAAGCTGCTCTAATATTTTCTGCTCCTAATCAGCTGCAAACTGTAGACTTTTGTGCTTCAAAGTTGCTCCAGAATGCATAAACTGCTGCTCCAAAACAAGAATTTTGTGCTCCTAAGCTGCTCCAAAATCCAGATTTTTCTGCTCCAAAAATTGCTCCAAAACCTGTTTCACCTGTCTCACCCCTGGTTCTGAAGTGAAGTCCTTTGATAAAGGTCACGTTTGGCGCTTCTTGCAAGTGGCACCAACCATTGTTACGCGAACGTAGAAGACGTGTGCCACGAGCGAGAGCTCCGCCGCCATTTGCGTTCAAGGGCTGCACGAGGCACGGGCTTCGGGCTTTCCCACATTTAATGCTACTTGCAGGACAAAGGTGAGGATGGAGGGGCTTTGTTCCGGAGGACATGCGACAGCATTCAAACGCAGAAGCAACCAGAAAACCCAATCTTGACAAACTTTCTTTTCTACTCTCCCATTGCTCGCAGAGAAGCAGCACCCTATTTTCCAGACTGTAGTCCACACCCAGTGCATATTTCGTGCATAGTCTGCACTTAGTGCCTAATCGGAACCAAAAATGGTCTGCAGAGTGGAGCTTGACAAATGCCTGCTGTATGAGCTCAAAAGGGAGCTGATATGATATCAACATTAATAGTAGACTCTGTTATTTAAAAAATTCCTCGCATCTTATTTATTTATTTATTTAAATACGCTCAGGGCCAATTGGCATTAAAGAGGGGAAGGGGAGTAACAAAATAACGCACAAAAAGAAACACAAGGGCAGAGTACATAAGGTATCATGGCAGCTCAGGACAGTAAAGAGTGTTTATAGCATTTTCAAACATTTGGGCATCAATAATATAAATTATGGAAGTCTGAAGGGGATTCCATTCCAAAGAAGTTTTAAGGACGAATGACTGTAGAAATGTGTTTGTATTACATTTACAAATTCCAACTTTGAGGTGAGGATCAATGCGGTGAGGATCAATGCGAGGTGAAATGTAGAACGGTGGGATGAAAACACGTTGCTTTAAGTACGGGATAGCATGATAGATCTTGCGTAGAAGACATAACCGAGCAGCTTTTCGTTTGAGAGAGAGGTTAGGCAGGAACAAGGTGATTTTCATGTAGCTTAGACTGGCAGTGCGGTGATACTTACCTAGAATAAAACGGGCAGAACGGTTTTGGGCCGCTTCCAGAACTACTTAGATTAGACTGACTGGGGTCCCAGACAGAAGCATACTCTAATTTGGAGCAAGCGAGAGATTTATACAGTGTTAATTTTAAGGCTGACGGTGCGAGAGCAAAGTTTCTTTTCACGTAACCTAGCATGTGGTTAGCGTTATTGATGACATATTCAACATGCAGCTTCCATGAGAGGTTACAAGTAATGTGAACGCCCAAATATTTATAAGAAGAAACGGGGGCCAAAGGGACGTTGTTGAGATGGTAGAAGGCACATTAGGACTAGTACGTGATATTCTCATAACTTTACATTTAGTAATGTTAAGTTCCATATTTCAAAGCTCACACCAGTGGTAAACAGCATTAATATTTGTCTGGAGCTTTAAAACATCAGAGTTGTTAGTAGATTTAGTATATATTACACAGTCGTCAGCGAAAAGATTAATTAATGATGATATGCAATTAGGCAGGTCATTGATGTAAATGAGAAACTGTAGAGTGCCTGATACGGTTTCTTGAGGAGCACCGGATGTGACGGAAGTGAGGGGAGACGTGTTCTCATTAGCAGTAACAAACTGATATCGGTTAGTTAGAAAACCGGCTATCCAGGCAACTACGTTAGGATCACTACTTAATTTGTTAAGTTTTATTTGAAGCAACTAGTGAGGAACTTTTATCAAAAGCCTCGGAATAATCTAGAAAAACACAATCAACTTGAGACCCACAATTAAAGACGGAATTAAGATTGTTAGTAAATCACAAAAGCTGTGTCTCACAGGAGTAAAATTTGTGGAAACTATGTCGAAGCTTGTTAAATAAAAAAATTTATTCCTGGAAAATAACCGTTTTGGAGTATATAAGCTCTAGTAATTTACATGGTATGCTGGTAAGCGAGATGGGACGATAGTTAAGGGGGGAATGCTTATCACCTCCTTTGTGCAATGGAATCACCCTGGCTACCTTCCAGTCGTCAAGTAAAATGCCAAGTTCGAGCGACTACAAAAAATTGCTTAGAAAATATAATAGATGAATACATACTTGAGTTTTTCAAGAACTTGGAGTTAATATTGTCAGGACCAGCTGAAGAAGAAAGTTTTAAATTTTCTATTAGTTTAACAATACCAGTGGGGTCGATTACAATGGGGCCCATAGGTATAAGATTATATTCCTGGAGTAAGCAAGATGGCAGATTAACAAAACTTGAAAATGAGTCAGCAAAAACATTGTTCAGGATCTCCACACATGCATCACTGGGGATCGCACAACCGTCAACACAAAGCGAAATAGACGACTTGTCTTTGCTGTTAACAGTGTTCCGAAATTGTTTAGGACTAGTGGCTAGTAATGTCGGCAAAATGATATTAAAGAAAGGATGTTTGGCTCTTTAAATGGCAGATTTGTCACCGACAAGAGCGTCGTGACAGGCTGACCAGCGATCTGGTTTGTTAGACGACTTAGCGGCCCTAAACAAATGTTTTTTTTTTATTGGGAAGCCGCTTGAGTTGGACACTGAACCAAGGAGAATTAGTGTGGGACGTTATCGATCGAAGCGGAATGTATGTGTCCGCGAGTGATTTAACAATATTTTTAAAAAGGTTCCGATTTCCTTGAACTGATCATTGTGAAAGAGAATCGATGTAGCCATCCATAAAAAGAGCGAGTTCATTGTTAATGGCGTCAAAATCCGTATTCTTGAAATCGCGAAGGAATTTGGCTCTTTTCGAGGGAGTAACGACAGGTAAATTTAAGGTGATGTGTAACGCACAGTGATTGCTGAGCTCAGGAAGATGATAGATTTCAGAAACAAGATTGGGTGAGGGAGTTAACACTAGGCCAAGCAAACTGGCAGTTGTGGCGGTAACACGTGTAGGCTTTGTGACAAGCTGAGTTAGGTTGAAATCAACAGATACGCTTAGAAAATCGAGACATTCTGAAGAATTGGGAGCAATAGAGGGACACACACCAGTCCACACAGTGCTAGGATAGTTAAAATCTCCTAAGAGAAAGATGGGAGAGTGAGGAAGCCTGGTTAAAATCAAATTAAGAATGTCGTGTAGCTCATTAGGGAAGGTAGCAGAATAATTTGGCAGTCTATAACAAACACAAAAAACAATATGTTTTTTGTGTTTATATGCATATGCGTGTATACATATACGTGTATGCGTTAGTGCAAGCCATAAGGCTTGCACTAACGCATACACAAAGGAACTCAAGATTAGTTTAAATGTTCACACAGAAAGATGTCATGTTCTCAGATACAGCAATTAACACACCTCCACGGGATCTGAATTCCCATTATAGCGATACACATTGAAACGCTTACCACATGCAAAACTTTTGCTGTCACGTATTTTAGCAGAGAGCGACGTTTCTGTGAGAATAACTAAATCATAGATGATTCTAAAATGGCATTAAGTGCGTCACAGTTTTTTTATGACACTCTGTATATTAGTAAAAATAATCAATGTTTGTTCAACAAATAGACGAGATTCATTATTGCTCTTAATCTGCTGTGACGAAGAAGTTTGTGCTTGGCTAAAGAGGACCTATTAGTCGAAGCGCTCGCTACGGCCTCCTGGTGACCCCCAAGCTCAACGGCGCTGTCAGTTTCTAAATAATATACAAAGACCTTTTTGTCGACGTAAAGCTCGTTATAATGCAAAGTAAAGGCAACATTCGGATATAAACCCTTCACGAATTTGATTAGCTCACGTCGTGCATGACGGGTTGTTTACGAAAAGTCCTCGTTTACAAAAACGCAGCTATTTTTTAGTACTGATTTTGAATTCAAAATATTATCCCGAGCCTTCAGGTCTTTTAAATTTGAACGTTAGCGGACGGCAATGGCTAGCAGAGAAGGCACTTATTCTGTGCGCCCCAGCAATACATTCCGCGTCCATCTCCAGGTTCATGGCTCGAGACAACGCCGCTCTTATCAACTCCGACTGAGCCCATGTATCACGATCAGAATCCTCAATTCCGTGAAGGATTAAGTTATCTCCCCTGTTTCTATCTTCTAATTCGTCAAGGCACGAGCGCAGAAGAGCATTTTCTTTCCTGGCTTCATCTGCAGCGCGCTGCGTGGTTTGAAGTTCGCTCTGCCATTGTCAAGCTTCAACGCTTTCGTTTCTGCATTGACGAGTCTTTTATTCACGTCAGCTAGTTTATTTTCTATCGACTGCTGGCTTTTCCTTACTTTCTCAATGGAGCTGATTAAACTGGCTTGACCTGCCTCAAACTTGGGAGTTGGAGCATTAACATCCAAAGTAGTTGTAGCATTTCGTCCATCTGCTTGCTCTGGTTGTCCTTACTCGAGTTTTCAGTTGCGGAAGCCGTGTGAGGACGAGGGTTAAGCTCGACATCTTTGTTCAGAAGTGGCACCAAAGCGCACAATGCATCGAAGCAATCAGCTGTGCAACAACACAGATCTACTAGGCAACAATATTCAGATTTCCCTTTTGGAAAGTTTAGTCGGTCACCCACCTGCAGTGGAAACACCACGGGGTTAGATTGTGACCGCATTCTCTCGAAGCTGCCTCGCCCACAGAACGATCTAGAAAAAATAAATCCTCGTATAGTCAGCACCCGTGCATCTGTGCTGGGTAAAATTTTACCTTTTAAACATGCATAGTCCGGAGACTGTAATCCGGAAACTATGTAGCTGCCACATAGCAGCTTGTTTGTCTAGCCTTTGAGGCGTGTCTTCAGTGCCTTGGCCTGCTTTGCCCGACATATAAGCGTCTCATCACGGGCCTCTTGTACGGTGGGCAGTTAAAACGATAACTGCTATTCTTGTCACGTCAAAAAAGAAACAAGTTTTGCACATTGTTTATACGCAAAGTAGTCCTTACAAGATTTCGTTGTCTGGAGAAGAAACAAAGACGTGGGCGTTTGAAACATATACGGCTCGATATAATAACATAGAGCGCATTTAAAATGCCCGTACCGTAAAATCTCCAAAGGGCGCCTACCCAAAACGAAGAGATGCATGGTGAAAAACACGAGGTGGGCTATCTCTGAAGATGAGACAGCAAAACTTCGTAAAAAATTAATGATAAATACAAAACTACATGACACAGGAACTGGAACTGCAGATTGCGGACAAGGCAAATTTGTGTTTCAGACTGCGATAAACAGGCGGGAATTTGCTACCAACTCCTGTGTCACGGGAAAGGAGAATGCAGGCTGCAGCAGATTCATGTTTTGCGGCGCAATAAACATGCGGGAACCGGCTAAACTTGCGTCTCACGGGAACCGATATCGCAAACAAAGAAAGGCAGACTACGAACTCGGGTGTCGCAGGAACCAGTGTTGTGCGTGCATATTGCGGGAGTGAAGGTGGGAACCTGCTGCGAACTCGTTTGTCATATACGCCGGTACTGCAGATAGCGAGGTTGATGTGATTCCCGTCGGACATCTTGCGATGTATGACGGGAATCACATCAACCGTGCAATCTGCGGACATCGCGTGATGTCCGACGGCAATGGGGGTGGCCAATGTTTTGGATTTTTATGATTCAGATATTTTGCCAGGAAATCGGGATGGGCAATCTCTCGGGGGAGGGTGCTCTTACGGGATTTTACGGTACCTATATCTTAATTCACCACATAAAAGGGGAAACAAGTAATGCTTTGCAAGAAGCTAGAATTTTTTTACTATGGTTCTTGACCTGGATACGAGTATAGGATAGTGCCCCCTCTCCAAAGTCAGGCTCTCAAGTGATTGCACTAAGGTTGGGATTAGGTTGTACTGTACTTTCTCAACTGGGAATCATCCAAGCAGGGCGGATTTTGGCAAAGCATTGGCCAGTGGCTGGCGATGGTCTTTTGTCCAATGTCCAAAGAGTAGCCATTCATTGGTCAATGCTTGGCTGGTGGCTGATGGCCAGAGAAAGGCCAGTCATGAACCAATGGCTGGCCACTGGCCAAAGGAACATTGTCAGCCATTGGCCAATGATTGGCCAAATCTGTGCTGCTTGGGATGCATTTCCTGATTAATTTTTTACCTCTTGTCAATGACCCAAAAGGTACTTAAAATGCCTTAGGTTGGCAATTGGTCACTCTTCCTACATGGATAGCACAAATCAGCTCTTTGACAGTTCCCTTATCTGGTGTTCCTTACCAGCAACTGACAAAAACAGCTTTGTTCTGAACCTGGTGGCTCTTGTACGGATGTGACTGATTTGCTTGCAAGATGTTTTTCTTGTGCCTGCGGGCGGAGCTATTTGACCTAAAGCATGGGTTCCCAAATGGTTCTTAGGAAGGTCTCCCAGGGTACCCACGTGGGTCCTTGGAATTTCCTCGACCGCCCCTAAGTGAAGGGTTTTTACAGTTTAGGCACTTTTAGCAGATAAGAGCCATGCAATAAAGTATAACTACCAGCCTTACTGTTTACAATATCTGTAAGCCTCTGCATTGGTTTATGTCTTCATCACATAAATGCCGAGACCGGCAGGGGTTCCTCGGTTTTTGGTCAAGCCAGATTGGGGTTCCTCTAAACCTTTAAGCACCCCTGGCCTAATGTAGCGAGGCATTAAGAGTAGCTCTTGAAATCCTTTTCTTTCCTTTTTTTCTTTCTGGCAGGTTGTGGTTTGACAAGTTCATCGAGCTCTGGCACAACAGCCACAACTCCCCCGTCTGGGAAAATGTGAGTGCTTTCTTATGACTACCCTTTGCATATACGTTGGCATCTGGTGAGAACTCGAAATGAATTATCTTTCCTCAGAACCTGGTCTGGCTGTTTGCGAGACTAGCCCAGAACAACATCGGCTACATAGACTGGGAACCATACATTCCAACGGTGAGTTTTCTACTCTGAGCTCTCTCTTCAAGTTCGTCTTTGTCTCCTGGTAGCTCCAGGCACAAGGATCTCGGAGATCCCCTGAGACCCCCCTGAGTTTAAGCACTGGGCGTAGGCTCGTGAATGCCAGCCTACCTTAAAACAAACGAGCAATAAAAGAGACCAGTGCCACAAGATGGAAGCATTTGCTAATAAGTAGCTTTTTTGCAGATGTTCACCCGCCTGCTGCGCAGCCTGAACCTGCCGGCGGCCTCTGGCAAGGTGCAGGTGAACAGGCACAGCAACTCCTACGACAGCACTGCCGTCGTCAACTGGATCACCTCCCTCATGGTGACTGCTCTCCCGCCTGTTCTCTTGGGGGCCGATGCAGTCCCTAGTGGTGCCAGAGCTTTGCCCAAAGCGAGACTGCCACCATGACAGTATAACAGTGTACTAGTGTAACCGTATCTTGGGCATTTCTCTAATCTCAAACTTTTCGATCTTCAGGGGCTCCTATATCTCTGGACCAATGGTTGAGGAACCCTTCCCAGTGTGGGTATTGATACAGTAAGCTAGTGCGGAAGCCTAAGGGCCCTTTAAACAATACTTCACCCGCTAGGGTGTGATTAGCTCATAGTTACGAATCAGTAGGTGGCTCACATCTTCTGAAATAGCGCTTCAACGAGACAAACACTTTACAGGGGGGCAGAGACGGTCGAGAAAATTTGAGAGGCCCGGGAACCGCCGTGGATACTCTGGGGAATCCTCTCCCCCAAACTCCCGAATTGCCTAGACCGACCCCGCACTCGAGTGAAGTGTTCCCACAGTTTGAACACTTTTTTTAGAACATGTGTGCCATCCACTGGTGCATAAAACTATAAGCCAATTCCTTCCTAATAGTTGAACTATGTTTTAGAGAACTCGTAGGCTTCTGCGCTGCCTCATTGTATCAATGCCGACACCGGGAAGGGCCCCTCAGCCTTTGATCGAGATTGGAAAGATTGATTACTTACGCTTTATTGCATGAATGCCGAGATCATGATAGAGAGAATGAGCATTCATTTGATAAGAGCGAGGTCAACCCATTCTCTTTGTGCTGGCTTGCTAGACTGCCAGAGACCGAGGGAAATTCCCCAGCTGCCATTCGAGAAAGAGACAAGCGTTCCTCGAGAACCCCTACTCCAATCTATCGGGGCTCACTGTGTGCAGATATTCTAGGTCGCTGGTCCTCAACATTGAAAACCGGGGGCCCCTTGTGAAGCACTGGAAGTAGTAGTGGATGCCATCCATGGGACTACTGAATGATTACGACGACGGCAGGATAGAGACAACTAATTGCTTGTATGAAATTGACTCCCTTCATTGTCATGTGCAGAGGAAGTGTCAGACAAGAATAGAATATTTATTAATTGCGTGGGTTCACTCGCAATGGGTGCTTTGTGGATCGTCATTCGAGAACCTCTGTTCTAGTTAACATAATTGTTTCGATAATTCAATAAGTGCTGCGGCTGACTTAGTTTTACAGCGGTCGCTTTTAGTGCCCCTTCCTGGCAAAAAATGATCATGCACGAATACAGCAGACGCACTACTGTCCCTCTTCCCGTCGTTCCTCAGACGCGTCGAAAGTTCTCTCTCGCTCCGCCCTCTTTTCCCCCCTGTAGGCTGCCGCTGTTCTTGCTCCGGCGACTCTCCGTTCCTCCCCTCACCCACCACTCCGGCAGCCACCATCGCGAAATAGGCACGTGGTCGCGCTGTGCGGACACGCTCCCTCACCTGCCCCCTGCTGCCGGCCAGGCTTCCTTCTTGCGTACCTTCCGCACCTCGGCAGAACAGCTCGTATACAGACTTTAGCTTCTTCCGCCGCAGGGCCTGGCGTCCCCATTCTGGAAGAGTGTTTCAGCCGTAAAAGAAGCGGGTCTCTGTGTCCTTCCCCAACACGTGCAACATCTGGCACAATCGTTCCGCCAAAGTGCACATCTCCTCGCACAAGTCTCCTACATCAATTCCACTGAAAGCAAAGAACCCGTGGCAAACATTGTTCGGCACACTGGTGGCTGAAGGTGAATCCCTTTCAGTGTGCCTTTTCACAATGCCGCAGCTAACGCCGTCAATTGCAGCACGCTTTGTGTGGTCGTCTGCAATTTTCGAATTGTTAGCTCGTTGATAGTCACTAGCTGTTTCTTATACAGCATTGGAAGTAGCGCGCACTTTGCAGTGTGTGCCTACATGGCTACGGCAACCGAAGTCGGACGCCTGCGCAGTACCCTAAGCAGCCGAATTAGCATGGGGAGACAAGCTGCACTTTTGGAGCTAAAACGTCTATTTTCTGAGCTTCATAGTTCACGCCTTCTGTCGATTGTTGGAGAAATTAACTGTCGTCTTCAGAAAACCTCCGGTGCAGGAATTCTGCGAACATTCTTATTTCTAGGAACACCTCTCTTCATTGACGGCAGCAGAACCCTTTCTTGTCTCGGCACTGGTGCAATAAAGCAGTCTAGGAAGCTCCAGACTTTGTAAACAATAGCTCAGGATCGTTTGGCTTTTAGTCATACGTCAACAGGTGCCTAGATCTTCTAAAAATGTCTTTGAAACCGGGAAAAAGGGAGCTTGAGGAACGTTGCGGAGGCTTGGGGAGCATTTGGATGCGTGCAGAATGCATGAGGATACTTTGAGGGACCCTTGGGTTCCTGGGGACCCATACTGAAAACCCGGGGTCTCGCAGACTAAAGAGATCAAAGAGGAAACTGAACGCCACAGGCACTTTCCAGCATAGCCACCGAGTCTAGGGCGTGTTCTGGGGCTTGCTTGGGGTTGGTTGTGCTCGGGGCTTATGCCGAGGCCTTTTCTGCTTGCAGGGGGGCCAGAGCAGCTGCCAGACGTATGTGAGCAGCCTTTTCAAGGCGGTGGAGTCCTTCTACCACCCGTCCAACAACGGGCGCTGGGTGGTGCGTGTCCCTCCTCTCTCTCGCACACGCTCGTGTTACGTACGCTGCCCGGGACTTGTCTTTGACCGTTGTGTTTGTGGTTCCTCGACGACATCGTAGAGGCGTTTTGCTGTTGCCTGCCGGGATTCTGGTGGCAGGCACCTGTTTTGCTGTAGTTTGCTCTTTAGCTGGGATAATAATGAAAATAATCTATTTTCTGCGCCCGAAAACGATCGAAAACAAAAGAGGTTGTGTAAAAGTGCGACGTAGCGCTAGAAAATACGATAGATGAACTTCGTACAAAATCCGCTATGTATACTCGCTATTACACGTGCCAGCTCATGCGAAAGAAGTGCACGATCACCAAATATGTCTAAGCTAGATTGAGCAATCCTGTTAAATGAAGCCGCGTACGTGACATTGGCGAGACTTCACGGGATGAATGAATGTAAAAAACAGTAAAATGTGTAGTAACGCTCTAAGGAACACGAAAACAGTCCACAGAAACTTAAGGTGCCAGGAATCAAAACATCATGACTACGACAATGCACGCATTTGCTATTCTTTTTTTGCCGGCTCTTTTACGACCTTTACCGGCACAACACGTTGGGACGTGATTTGTTCCCATACCGGGACCACTTTGGAAGCCCGGGTGGTGTCCGACGCTAAACATGCCGATCGAAGACCTTTTTGAGGCACCACACCGTGTGTCTAGCGTCGCCCTTCTGAGGCCGTGTGTCCCATTCTGTCTGGAGCAGATGAAGCTGCAGAGGATCCTGTACAAGCTTCCAGCCGAGGTGGTCAAGCGGCTACACAGGTACGCTGTCGGTTCGTTTCCTTAGGGGAGGGGCTCTGAACTGCATGCCTATCGTAGCATTAACCAGACACTAATCTCTCAAAAGACCTTTGTTTTTTTAAGTGTCTCGATAGAACATCAGTCACATAGTAAACTTTCCTCGTAGGAAAGAAATCGTATGGTAATTCCTCATTGACTTGGAACTCTGCCATCTCCAAATATCGGTCAAGTCGAAAGCTTTTCTTGTTGTGGAGTGAGCTCCCACAGTCGTGGAACAAACTCTTCCATAGGCACAATGCATTTACAGTGTAGACCGCATATAACGTATGTCGCGGGAATCGCGAAAATCCGCACTATAAGCGGTACTGCGCTATAACCAAAACATCAATTTTTCAGGCCAAAATACATGCCATGAGACAACTTGCCTTTGTAAAACAATTTATTTTATATTAGATAAAAAATAAAGCTTAGTTTGAGGAAAGTCTTTATTTCACCAGACTAGTACGCTTCTCTCGCAAGTGTGTCACACATCTTGAAACAAATAAACGTCTTTTGCCTGGCGCAGCCTTTAAGGCGTGGCGGGTTGCGGACAGACGTTGTGAGCGTTCAGGATTGTTAACCCTCATCACTTTTTTCCGGTGATGAAAACGCATAAAAATTCGCATCTTTATACGGTATGCGCATGAAATGCTCCAAAAAAGGCATGAAATGCTCCAAATAAGAAATCCGGGCGATGTTTGAAACCACAAATGTTTAGAAAGCACCACTGTAGTCGAAGTAAACAAACACGACGACACGGGCGTTTCTGCTGTCTTGCGAGTGCCGCCACGACATCGCCGCACGAGTAGGTGGATCTTCCCTTCTAGTACATGCTGGGTTATCATAGCGACACACAACGAAAATTCACAGTTAAGGATAGCGCTTTTATGTGGAACAATGAGCTTCCACTACGCCGTTGACGTTGACGATCACCACCGAAGCCATGTTTACGGATAGAAGCCGGCCGGCATGCAACGCGCACGAACGGCTGATTGGGCCACGACCAATGGGCTCGCCAACGCCTTGCGCCGTAAACGACACGTGCGTGCGTCCCTCCGTCGCTATGGCAACTGAAGCCTCTCTCTTCGCTTCTTCCCGCTTCCTCGAGCAACCTCCTTGCCATCCCTACCCCCGCGAGTGCGGCTAGCGCCGTTATCTGGTGTCGCACAGGGAAGCGTGCTTGCTGCGCCAGTCGGTCGGTGCGCTGCTCCAAAAACTGCACTATAACCTGTATTTCTCTTCGTGCGCCTGCATTTTAAGCGGTATGTAATTACATGGAGTTCTATGGGAGGCAAACCGGTGGTTTAAAAAAGCCGCATTATATCCGGTCCTGCACTATAAGCAGTTACATTGTAAGTGGTCTATACTGTACTCGCCACTGATTTTGAAAACTTTTCAGGACTGACCTCAGATCTCTCGTAAGCTTGACAATGTATATTACCAAAAAAAAAGGCTCGAGGTACATCTAAGCACTTCTTATGAGTTGTGAATGCGAAAGCACGCACACCGCTCTTCGCTCCCTTTTTTAATCTGCGGCGTACAACGCGCTGACCTTGGGCGTGGAACGGCCTTCAATGTAGACGAAATATTTTGTTAGTTTAGTACCACCGCTAACCTGGGGCCTTTAATGTGCACCACGCGGTAGTTTTTACGCAAATGTACGTCGGTACCAGGCTCGTCCGGATTGAAATGGGCAGGGGTGGGGATTGAACTTCGAGAGCCACACGTGTGTCGCGACATCACCGACGCGAGTCAGTCTCCTAGCTGGTCTCTCCACGCTTCACTATTTCATTCCGGAGTAAAGACAATTATTGTATCTTGGCATTTGAAAAACCCACTTGCATCGGGCATTGCTTTACTGGTGCTGTTCCGTAGCACGACCCGCAAGAATAACCCGAGTCGACTCGAGCAAGATTTGAAAGGAAGCCCTGGAGGCAGCTGTTCGGGGGGTTGGTAACAGAGTGTGTTAGCGCAGGTCTGAACACGTTGAGCGAAAGCTCATGCTGCAGAACCCAGGCATCCTGGGTTCACTCCCCAGTCCTGCCCATTTTGATCTAAATGAACACTGTACTGGCAGGCAGTTGTATGTCACTACTGCGTGGTGCACGTTAAATACCCCAGGTGGTGCTGCGCCGTCTAAATTTCTGATCTGCAGCGAAGGCACTAGATGCCCAGTTGGGTTGACTAACTTTCTGCCGTCTAAGCATACGCGCAACACGATGGAGTTTTTTCCATTGAGGCTCTGTCCATGCATACACCCTCTCCCCTGACCCTGCTTCCCGCTGTTGCCATTTTCGGAGGGCATCATCCCGCACAATCGAAATATTTGGCTTTTATTTTTGTGCATATTTCCTTCATAGTGTTGGTAGATTCTTTTTTCTAGCGTCACTCGTATGGGGCATGAAATGCGATGAAAAGTGACGATGGCACGATACTGTTGTGTGCTGACGGGCAGAGGCGTGCAATCATAGTTTTGCAGACAATCCCCCGGACGGTGCTCTTTAATAGAAAAAAGGGTCCATATAGACAGCTGCTGCGGGGACGCTCTCGACTTGCAGGGAGCGCTACCGGGCCCCGTCGTGGGAGACTCCCGTGCCGCCGTGGCAGCAGCTGTCGGACGCGGACGTGACACAGTTTGTGGAGTGCGTGCGCCCCGTGGTGCTGCTCTCCATGTTCGGCAAGGGGGGCAGCTCGGGGGCTGCCATGGCCCTGCAGAACTTGGCCCTGCTCCGGCCGGAGCTGGTCATTCCGCCCGTCATCGAAAGGTGACTGCCTCCTCGTCCAGTTTGTTTTTCAACCATAGTACGATGTTTGTCGTCGACGGTGGTGTTGTAGCCATCATGCCCGAGTCCCACTAGAGCGACAAACACAACCAAATGGCAGCGACAAGCCTCAAACACATGCAGCGTGTTTGCAATGGTACCTTTGGCAGGTTTTCAGTCGTTCGGTGCTCGTTAAGTAAGCACGAATGACTGCAAGCCTGCCAAAGATACCCTCGCATGCATAGCATTCTTCTTTGAGCCCTTTATTCTGCAAAGCCTCTCACATCACAAAAGACTCTGGTTTGAGGCTTGTCGCTGTCGTTTGTTTCTGTTTGTCGCTCTAATTAAGACTGGCATTAATGTTGTGGTTGGCGTAGTAGATCGTTGATGTTGCCAAGTCAGATAGCCGCCGCAGCTTTGACTTAGTTGCCTCAATGTCCTCGTGTTTAAAGTTATGCTGATGCCGAGTGCGTGCTCTTTCTGTAAAAGTACGAAAAAAATACTGATAACAAAATTCCAAGAACTTGACTGGAAGACGTGCTGTCACGCACTTTTTAACAAAAAAACAAAAGCGTTCTGAACGAAATGATTTGATGTCGGTTTTGTTCCGAATGCTTTTGTTCATGATCCTGCAGTGCATGAACATGACTCCAACGCCCAATAACTTTGCCTCGATGTGTCGCATTTATCGCTGTGACTGTACCGTGGATCAATGCAGGGGCTTGATTTTGGTCACCACGAGAGAGAGAGAGCGATTTTATGTGTTTTGTTTTTGACATTATCTAACTATTTGCTGCTTAACCTGACATATTGTTCATTTTTATTTATTTTCAGTATTGGTGCCTATCATGGCAGTATTTTATTAAAATGGGCCCAAACTGGCCAAATTGGCTTTGAGACTTTTGTGGTCTTTCAGTAACTTGTAATATCCATTGACTCTGAAACAAACCATTGATTGATAATTTACCTCTTGCAGAGCGAGCAAAGATAGTGTACATAGAGGGCTTGTCCACTAACGCTAGTGAAGGATGCGGTTCGTCTGCTACGAGGTGCCATTCTAGTACGGATATAAAATGAGAGATTTTCGTACGTCGTCTGACAGACAGGAAGAAAGGTGGATTGTTTGCTACAAACTGAGCGTCGGGGTGAAGCGAGATCAGATGCGCGCTAAAATTGTGATCGTTTGCTATCTCAAATTGGAAGTCGATTTCGCAAAACCATTTGGAATTTCACTATACTAAATAGCCTACTAGTTAAAAGGAGTAAACGCAGGGATTCTAAAAATACAGTTAGTTGGCTCAGCTGAAATAATCGTCGGAGTACCCCATTAAATGTGAAGAGGCGTCGACCGCGTCGCGTAGCTTGCTTCCGATTGTGGGCGACATAGTACCGAGCGTGTCCGGCCGTGCAGGCTGTACTCGGCCCTGGAGACCCTGACGGAGCCGCACCGGCTGACGGCAGCCATGCACTGCGTGGTGGCGGTGGCCCGTAGCCTGGTGCTGGGGGGCAGCTACTTTCCCGAGGGGCCCTCCCACGTGCTGCCCCTGCTCAGCAGCTGCCTGCCGGGCATCGACCCCAACGACATCAAGAAGTGCATCGTGAGTGGCACGGCCCCATTGGCAGCCCGCACGGCCACAAGCTTCGGTCGGCGTTCCGTGCGTGGCTAGACGCTCGCCCTTGCATCCCTAGTGGGATTAGGTGTGCCAGAGTCCTTCGACTCGCCAGTGGTTGTGAAATTCGGCCAGAGTTTCCTACGAGATCAGAAGTTGCCCCTAGGTGCACACCTGTCCTTTAAGGACGCATTGGCCTTTGGCCACTCTACCCTGAATAATACCCCCGTCAGATGGACGCACGTATTGTCACTTCAAATGAGCGCGCTTGAGCACATCAAATGTCACTTCAAGGGCTTTCAAGCTACGCAGCAAAATTTAATGTCGCTCGGAAATGATGTTATTGATGACGGGTAGAGTAAAAAGCATGCAAATTACTAGAATATACATGTAGATTTCTCTATAATCTTTTTTGTATCCTTATTAAAAATGAAAGACGTTTCTAAATCTCTGCAACGTGAAATTAGAGCACAGCTCTTGAAAAGGAGGAGGGGAGGGTATGCCCCTCTTTACTCTCCGTTCCCTCTCCTCCCACTCCTCCAGCATACCCTCCCATCCACCTTTTCTATACCCTCCCCTCCTTCCACAGTTTCTCTGCTAAAAAAGTTGCTCCAGAACCAGTTCGATCTGTCCCACCCCTGTGAAACGTCATTTTGAGAAAAAAAAAAAAAAAGGAATGAAAATGATATTATTTTGGAGATGGTTTGAATGTTTAAGCAGTTGATTAAATGCACAGAGCCGAAGAAGCTTACGTTGACGAGAAACGCCGTCAGTGTGATGGCGTGTCACCGCGATCATGGGTGGCTCATCCAGAGGGGCTTCGAAATTCCGACGCACTTCCTGGTTGCCAAACTCCCAGGGCTGGTGGCTACATTGGTGGCTCCTTGTCGGAACCCCGTGCAATTGTGCACGAAGCTCCCCCGTAGCATTGCGCGGAAGTTTCGTGACCGTGAGCGTATTGAAGGACTCTGATGATGCTTTCAGGAATGAAATTAAGAGTAATGTCAGGCTGTCAACTTCACCAGTGTTGGTTTAGCGGTGTTGACCTCTACTGGGATTAGTTGTGCCTTCATCGATGAAATTAATGAGGTATTTTATTTATGGAAGTGGAGCGTTTTTTTTGTTGTTATCTTCTTGTGCGTGCAACCACTCACTCTCATCTACCGCACTAAAGGCACAAGCGTGCAGCGCATTTGAATTGCTCCAAATCCACCGAGGAAATCCCGCATAGGAGTATTGTCAGATGGTCAACTTCAGCGGTGTTAATTTAATTTCAGCAGTTTTTTGGCACCGAAAACCAACACCGAAAAGTGTTATGCCCATAGGGAACCATATTAAAAAAACTTCAATCCCCTGGCAGAAATTGAACTCACCAGCTTGAGATTCTGAGCCAAGTGCTTTGCCAACTGAGCTATTCAGGGTCAGTGGTCGGAGCATGCAAAAGCGAAATCATTGCGTCGGTCGCGCTTTGCAGCCTTTCCTGTTGTGCTGCACCGTATCACGCTGTGTGTCAGAAATTTGAGCGAATCTTTGATAGGCGGTGCCATTCAGCGCCCTTCTGTTCTTCCCTGGAAGCCTCGTCACATTCTGTGCTTGCCAGTCTTCGTAAGCACTATCAAGCTTATATAATTTTTCTGCAGCTCGGGGTTTACCTACTCTTTGTTCCAGATTGGAGCAGGGTGTTTGCAATACTTGTTAAGGGCGAAACTGAGTTTTTTTGTTTTATTTTTTTTGTCAGGTGACCTTCCAGTTTATTTCCACGTTTGCAACTCTCATTCCTTTGGTGGACTGCTCCAAGGCGGTTTCGGTGCGCAACGACTTGACCGAGGTGAGCACGCCCGTTGCCCCGCCGGGTCCGAGAGAGCTCTGTTCTAATGGTGTGTGACTTTGTCTCCTTCAGCTGGAGCAAGAGGTGTGCCTGGCGACAGCAGGGTTCGAGGACTTTGTTCTGCAACTCATGGGGAGGTGTGTCATTCTCTCCTTCTGGGGGAGAGCCTCCTAGATATGGAAGGTCCATAGGGCTACATTTTAGTGTCACCTAAAGGAGGCGAATGCCAGATTGGACACAAGTGCCGAGTCAGCATTCGGTTACTACTCATGTTCTCACCAACTGAATATGGGTCGCAGCCAAGTGCTGGGGCAGCAGATTGTCCCACATGTTTCTCGTGCTGGCCTCCCTAAAGGGGTATTCACATGGAGGAGAAATCCCTCCTTTCGGTAGACGTTCCAGGGGATGGGAGAGCTTTTGCTCGGGCTGCACATGCACTCCCCGCCTTGGCGTGGGATCTTTTTGCCATCCTGACTCCTCATTCAACTGGTTTTTGATCCCACACCCTTTGTGTTGCATCCTCCCATTCGAGAGGATGCAACTTTTTCTTTTATCAGGAAGCGGTTCGTCGTCTTCTGCATGTAGGAGCGCTGCTGCCATAATCGCGTATCGCCTTTTCATGCATGCCTCCATTTTCATACTGTCGAGAGTGTGACTGCTGAACGCGTCTGATAACAGTGACATCCTTCTTGGCTCCCCACCGTTAGCGTGAATGCTCGAGTCGGGGAGGGATGCGTGACGCCCATCCCTTCCCGAAAAGCATCCCTTGTGTGAACTCTTTAGGGGATGCTGAACATTCAGCACTACGACATGGCTATCTAGGAGGTGTGATGGTGCACTGAGAGAGAATCTAAGCTATTCACGCACGCTCGCACCTTAGCACCGATCAAAGCTATGCACATCCACCCTTCACTTCTGAAATGCTCCAGAGAGTCGTTGCAGTCTGGTGCATTTTTTTTTTTACAGCGATAGCAGTTAAAGATTTCTCCCACCATTAGAAATACAATCCATTGTAGTTGGCATAGTAGGGGTTTGTCGTCTATATCGCCGAATTCTCGAAAAAGATTGCCCGCCGCTGCAGTGTTCTCGGGATTCGATCCCGTGGTCTGCCGCGGGTGAAGCGGGCGCTTTACCACGGGGTTATGCCACAGCCTCGAGAATCTGCTTTATCGGCATTCTATAGACATGGCTCACGAGTCTCGCATAGCGCCCACTAGATGGCCGCAGTTGCAGCGACGTCGCGATAGGAAATCCTTTCCTTCTTAATCAATTCCATGTTTAATTGGAGTTAATCGGAGAAATGAAAATTTTGGCTAGATGGCTAAGCCGCCGCTCAATTATAAGCGTTCGGCCTTATCCATCCATCTCTCCGTCTATCGTCGCACCACGCCACCCGTCGCACCATATCGCGCCACCTGTGACGTCACGTGACACCCCCCGATCCATTATTGCCCGATCCGACACCACGTAGAAGACGAGGCCTTTGCTTGTCCCGGCGACAGGTCATCACTAGTAAATCCACGCACCACCAACTAGCTTGCGTTTGCAACGTTCCCGGCATGTCTCGCAGCGTCTCGCGATGAGTGCGACGCTAGCGCGCAGCGACGCCAAGACAGACATGTTTTCGCGCTTTGCGGTGAGTCTCTTCAAGTTTTTTCGTGCTTGCCGCTTGAAGCGGGTCGGGAATCCAGCAACGATGACGTCATCGAGAGACTTTGTTGACGTCGTTCCACGGTGCGTGATCGCCACACCCATGCCCAACTACTCTGCCGTGACGTGTTGCAGCTATCGCTGTGACTGCACTGTGCGTCTGCACAGGACTGCTCTTTTTTCTTCTTTCTTAAGTGATTGTTTTACGGTTAACACTTCGCAGAGATTTCGACCTCGTCTCTCGTCGTCGCCGCTAGGAAGAAACCCTTCTCTCTGCTCTTGACGCGAGGCCGGGGAAGTCAGTTTTTCCTGTCGGCCGCCTTGGCGTTCCGCCTCTAACGACGCGACAAAGGGAGAGTCTTCCATGTCGTCTGCTGGAAAGACTTGTTTTCAAACATTACTCGAGTCTTGCAAAATCCCACTTCGGCAGTATCCAGTTGCTATGCATAATGTTGGATGGTTTTAGAAACTTTCATCACGCTTACCCACTTACTTCATGGATCACTGAGGTTGGGTGGTGGTCGTCTGTGGCATCCACGACAGCTATGAGAATTAACCACATCGCACATCCATCCTCAGGTACGTGACAGCACCATTCCACCCGCATTGTGCAACCGTGCTTCAACTATCGCTTTCATTTCTTCCCACATTGTGGCCGAAAATATGACTTTTTTCTCCTCGAGGCTAATTGTTTATTAGCTGCGAGACTCGACATTTGTACATGCTGTAATGAAGAGTGGAACTGAGTCATTTTGCCCTAGATTAGAACACGGTGAAGGCACAAGCACGAGGTCGAAGCTGTGGAAGGCTTACACTGCATTACATTGTCTGATGGAAGCAATTTGCAAAGCCAAGAGTTAATGCTGCTATACTGCGTGTCAACTATTTTCTGCCACATTGTCGAGGCTAGCATAGCTTCCACGGTGCTACAGCCCCACACTGGTGCAGGAGCCTGCAGCTTCATCTTGCATCTTATTTGTTTGCGTAGCTAGCTTCGTCAAAGTTGAAGCTCTGCAGAAGCTACGCCGGCCTTGACAACATGGCACAAAGCAGTTGACGCAGAGTATAGATTAGTAGTGGAGATGCGGGATCTCGCCTTGCTGCGTGGGTGCAAGAGAACTGTCGCCAATTGCACATCCATAGCTTTTAAGTGGAGAGTGCCAGCAGTAGGGAGTTTCAGGTAGATCGTTTTTGGGCTCCAACAACGATACCAAGCGTCTGCAAAGGTGCCAGTGGAGTATCGGAGCTATCGGAACGACCTGCTTAAACTCCCTAAGGAGTTTAAGCATGTCTGTTTTCAAACTTCAAGGACTCTGTCTAGAGATATATGTTGTCTGTGGTTGCCTACTGTAGGGATGCATAACGTAGGGATGTGTAATCTTCTGAAAAAAGGGTAGACACGTGTTTCTGTGTGCTGCTCTCAAGCTGTGGGCCCTATCCCGCGCAGGTGCTTCTCGCTGATTGAGAACAGCTCACTGGAGAACCCGACGCGGTTGGACCGTGACACGGACAAGATGAACACGGAGGAGAACATCCTGGAGGTTGGGCTAGCCTCCACCTTCAGCAGCATCCTGGCTCAGTGCTCTCCGGACATCTTCAAGGCAGGTGGCTCCCTCCGAGAACCGGGCCTGTTCCCGCCTGCACTGTCCCAACGTTTTGTTGCCAACTCTGTCCTCGTTGAGTCCACCGCGTCGCCTAGATTCCATCTTCAGGCGTTGCATTTTGCAACCTCTTTGCTCTATCCCCTTCTTTTTCGTCCGAAGACCTTGGATTTGGGGATTGCTGCGGGTCACGGTTGGCACTGGTGGCAATTTTCCGAAGTGTGGACAAGTGTGGTGGCAAGGATGGAAATGCAGATGTCCGTTCAGCTCTAACTGACAGTAGCATCGGCATCTGTGGTTGTGGAGGTTGCAGCGCCAACGGTGCTCTGCTCTGTACTGCAGCGATGCCGCTGCTTCCGCAACCAATTTTCAGGATTGCAATGATTTGAGCCACTAGCTCAAGGGCGCTTGTGATGTAATTTGTCGCCTTTATGTCAACATTTAAGTTCAGGAAAGTGTCAAAACGCTAGACACAATAGTGTAAAAATAATTTGAGGCACGCTGGTCCTGTCCTTATATTCACCGCATGTTCTTCGAAGCGTGTTGGTTGTAATTTTGGGGCAAACGGAGAACTGCATCCCTTTCGTGACTGTCTCAAATATGTTAATTGTGTTTGTCGTTTCAACTGTCGCCGCCAGGTTTAGAGTGAGCTGTTCCCAGTTAGCGCAGTTTTTCGGGCCAAAATTTGGTTCTTGTCCGGGAATTTAGGCTCTGAAAAGCCCGAAGAAGCCGAGAACCAAACTTGACCTTCTTTGGCCAGAGTCTGAGCACCTTGACCCTGAATTGCCCAACAAGTGCCAAGGTTAGCCTACACCGCCTGGTGGTTATTTGGCACCTTTGGGCCTAAATTGCCAAACAAGTGTCAGAGTTGGGCTTCTCTTCTGGTGGTTCGGTTTTCGTGGGGCAACTTTGGGCCTAAATTGCTGAGCTAGAGCCATCCTTGGGCTTTGCTGCTGGTGGTTTTGTTGATATGTGGCATCTTTGACTCAAGTCTGGCAATTATGTGGCAAACCAGAGAAAAAGCCGAAGAAAAGTATCATGGTACTACCTATTGCCTCGCAGCAAACTCGAATTAGACCAAGTTTTGCCCTAGGATTGCCAAACCTCCGCCAAGTTGGGCGTTTCTCTGGCTTGCGTGGTGCGTCGTATGAAACGGACATTGGCGATTTTGCGAGACATTCCCCAACGGCGGTGCCTTGTCGTGCAGGCAGCGCTGTCCAAGCTGCATGCCTTTGTCTCAACGCGCATCCTGGAGACGAGGGTGTCCGGCCGCTACGTCGCCCACATGTGCCGCTGCATGGCCCGGGTGAGTGGGAGCCTTGGGCTGCCCCTCTGCCCAATATATGTCGCTTTACTTCCACTGTTACATGTCTCGTACAGCTAATGTTTCTTCCTGTCCCGTGGAGTCTGTTACCAGGGCATATCATTGTAATGGTATAGGGAGAAATCATGCTTTAGAGAAAAAAAAATGGGGAAAAATTGTGTTCTTTCCTTCGCGATTACGCGGTGGAATCGCAGTATTTCGAGGGGATGTGGCATATTTACTCTCACTCGTGCCGAGACACCTAAATTATTATATGAGAAATACGAGCTGCATATTCTTTCAATATTAGGATGGTTGCACTGCCCCTTGAAGAGATCCCTCGGTGAGACAGATATTCTCGCGAACAACGTACCACGGTGAACTTGTCTGCACGTTCTACAAGGTTTGTTCCGCCTCGGACCTCTCTGCGTCTCAGGTGAACCCGTCGCTGGCCCTGGGGACGTTTGTGCCCCACTTTTCCAAGCTGGTGCTCACGCTGACCGAGTCTGACGACGTGGCCACGGAGGAACTGCTCGACGACGAGCTGCTCTTCAGCCTCTTGCTGCTCTCGGAGGTGGGCTTCTTTCTTTCTCTGCGAAGTCCGGAGCTTCCGTTTCCAAGCTAGGCTAGGGGGTTCAAGCCCTGGTCTGGAGGTGGCAGACAGAGTTCTAATACAAACTGAAGATGGGCATAAAGTTCTTATTTGTGGGCAAGGCAGAACTAAATCCAAGCACCGTGACAAAACAGCACGCGACAAAAGAGCACAGTCAAAACGGCACGTCGACAAAAGTGCGCCTGCCAGAACGGCGCTGCAACACAAGAGTGAAAGCCCCACAGCGCACAGCGTCAAAACAGCACAGTGATGATATATTGCGCGGTGTTAAAAATATGCGTGCCATACTGCAGAATGGAAGAGTGATAGGGATAGCAAAATGCTGCGATTACAAATAATAAATTGCAGTACTATTTGCCTCAAACAATAGTTCTAAACAGTGGCACCACACTGTCAAGCTTCTTATTTTTGCAATTGTAATTTTTTGCTAGTTGGGCTGTACGGTGATGTTTCTAACCTTTATATTCACTCACATTAACTAACATTATGGATTTTATAGCAATTCTTTTTGTGGCACGTATTTGACTAGCAATTATTCCGAAGTAACAGGTATATACTGCCAGAGAGGATGTGCTGAGTCAGGCTCAAAGCCCTATGCAAGGATCTCTGAAAAGCTATGAATTGTGCTATGTATCAAAGTATGACACATAGCCCCTCATAATAATAAATAAAATACACACCAACCAAATCCTCGTTTAAAGGCGGAACCCTACGTTTCTAGACCTGCTCGGTCTCTTCTTCAGGGGTTGACTGCGGCTATGGCCGTTGAGGAGCAGTAATCTGTTTTCTTCTTCTTCTGCGGCGGTGTCTATCGTTTTGCATCGATGAGGTGGCGAAGTCCGTTCATTTTTATTTTATATTATTTATTTATTCTATATATATATAAATTTTATTATATTTATATTTTATATACATATATTTTATTTATTATTATTGCTGCTCCCCAACCAGAGAGGCTTCTCTCAAATGTTCACCTTCACAGCCCCTCATTGACACCCCGTTGGGCTGCCACTTTGTTAGCTACGTAAATTCGGTGTGAAAAGAGTCTGCACATTAAATGAGCACTTTTTAACACTTCATTGTGGCCTTTTTGTGATGTTTGCAAATTGCAGGTCACAGAGCAATACTTTATGAAAAAATAATGGCATACTATATGATAAATAATACAGTTCACCTAGGACGATATTGTGCTGACAAAATTTATTATTAACTAGGTACCTTGCATATCCCACTAATAATCGGGATATTCACAAAGTTACAAATTATTTTCTCCTAAACGGCTGTGGCCAGATGACATATAATCGCGCACGTTAAAAATATGCATGCTCTCTTAACATTCCATTAACGCAAGTTTAGAATGCCGAAGAAAATGTATACGTTACTAGGGGGCTGTTTTGTCGATGCGCTGTTTTGGCACATGCTTTTTTGTCGCTGTCGTGTTTTGTCGCGTGCTATTTTGACGCATGCTGTTTTCTCACTGTGCTGTCTTGTTCTGTGCTGTTTTTACATGTGCTGCTTTGTCGCATTCCCCTAAATCAGGAGTGATCGTGCAGCAGAGAGTACTGAACCTTAACCAAACGATGAAACAGTGTGGCAGTAGTGAAGTTACTCGTCGGAGATCATTTATAATCATTTCGTCTTTTCTGCAACACCAACATTGTCACCCCACAATCAGACAGAAGAGCTTCCTGTTGGCAGTAGCAGAAAATATACGAGAAGGCTACCGTGATATGGGTTACATTGCGGAACAGTGTCTTTGATGCGTCAGAATTTAGCCTGGGACGCACGCAAAGGGTGGAGGTCACGTGGCGACGGACGTGCCCTCCGGTCGCCGCAGGTGGTGCGCTGCAACGGGCGCGAGCTGCTGCCCCACGTGGAGCTGCTGCGCAAGGTGCTGCACCGCACGCTGCACCTGTCGTCCCGCAAGGGCTACCTGCTGGCCAGCACCCTGCTGCGCAACATGCTGCGTGCTTGCACCATGGTCTTCCCCCTGGACTACCGCAGCACCCACCGGCCCTGGGAGGAGTGCCTCGACTTCGCCAGCTACCTGCCCACCAGGGTGAGGTCCCGCCCTCCAAAATGCCCTCGGTTGAATTCGTGTTTTGCATTTCTTCCGAGTACCGACAATCCTTGTTGCGCGAACACACGAAACACGTGCCTTGACGAGTGCCGCGCAGCGTCTCGTGCGTCGGCGCATTTAACACCGCTTGTAAAACGTAACACAAACACATCGAAGGACTTTACCTCGACCCACGGTTTCTCGGACTTCAACAATGGGGCTTGTTTCCCCGAGGCGAGCGTAGTGCTACGAAGGGGCATCGCAAAAACCATCGTACAGTTACCACAATAACTTTAATTACCACACTTTTACAGCGGAGCTGTTAAGGGCTAGGTTCCCCAGGATCGTGTCCGGTATGTCGACATAAACCTACCTAGACAGCTACCGCCATCTATAAGCGACGGCGGCAAGCGCACAACCAGTCTGGTTTTCGCCGTCACTTGCAGATGGTGGCAACCTTTCCAGCTATCATAGACTAATTGATAGTTGGGCGCGTTGGTGGGAATTCATCGTAGGAAACAGCGCAAAAAACAGACGACGACGAAGAAGAAGCACACGTAACAAGTGCAGCGCTCGTCACGTTTGTTTCTTCCTCCTCGTCTGTTTTGCGCGCTGTTTCCTATGCTTCTACGGTCTTATCAGTTTTGGTTTGGACTCAATATGGGTCGGCCGCGTGCTCTTTCGGGTAAAGGAGACAAGCTGCGGAAGGAGCGGCGACGTACGCAGCAGCGCTAGTGGGTCCACAACCACTGCAAAGCCGCTGTCGCCTCGACTTCCACTACGTCCAGCACTTCAGATTCCCTTGCCAAAGAGCAAATTGCTCGCCTGGAACAGAATGTAGGTGAAAACACTACTGAACACGTGTTCAGTAGTGTTTTCTAGGGGTGTGCGAATACTCGAATATATTGCCGCGCGCAGGGTCACGGACTTCTAGAACTTTCTCGTTTATTCTTGCTCCGGACATAACTTCTGTCGTTTATCCCTGCTTATGTTGTTCTAGAAAGTGCGTGTTCATTCTCGCCGCGAGCGCGCTACGCTCGAACCTTCTCCGCCGAATCTTCGAGATAGTGACTCACTCTAGATAAGACGCCGCTCGCGACCTTGTCGAGTCAGTCTCGCCTCTGCGCTCGATCCTGCGGTTTCGCCGATATCGACGCCCGCGACGCTCTGCTGTTTTTCTTTTGTACCCTTTTATTTTTGGCACAAGTTCGCCACATTAAACGTTTATTTCTTCTTGTTCATTTTCTGTTTTCTTTTGGTCACCACCCGTGACATTTTGGTGGAGGTGCGGGGTACCGCATGCCCGTGCAGCGCTCCCCTCCCAGTTCCCGCAGTGCAAGTCCGAACCCAGCCTCCCGAGGACCGAGCGAAGACCAGATCGAGACCCGATCCAGTCGACGCACCCAAGGTCTACCCCCGGAACACGGACTTCTGCCACCCCGGACCAGGCAGCCAACGAGGCCGACGATGGAAAACCAGTCGTCGCAGAACCCGTCCGCCGCCGCCGTCGTATACCTTCCCGTCTCACCCCGGACTCCGACACCATTCCACGGGGAGGTCCACGAGGATGTTGAAGATTGGCTGCAACATTACGAACGAGTTGCCCGCCATAACGCATGGACACCGGAGAAGTGCCTCCAGAACGTCTACTTCTCTCTGGAAGGCACGGCACGCACGTGGTTCGAGAACCACGAAGCGTCCATTGCGTTGTGGGAAGAATTCCAGGCCGAGCTGCGACGGACCTTTGCCAACCAGCACCGACGGCAGCGTGCCGAAGAACTCCTGCGAGCGAGAACCCAGGGGCCGACCGAGAGCGTCACAAGCTTCGTCGAAGACGTTCTTCACCTCATGAATCGCGCCGACCCAACCGCTCCCGAAGAGAAAAAGCTGCGGGTCTTGATGCGCGGTGTGAAGGAAAACATCTTCGGTGGCCTTGTGCGGAGCCCGCCTACAACCGTCGAAGCTTTCATCGCCGAAGCAACCAACATCGAGCGCGCGCTTCAGGCACGTGCTTCCCACTACCAGCGACATCCAGGCGTCGCTGCACCCACACTGCTTAACGGCGAAAACACTCTGGGTACACCGGACATGCGGGAAATTATCCGAGAGGTTGTCCGGGAGGAACTGCGAAGGTTGCTGCCAACCACCAGCCGTCCGCCAACCCTTTCCATCGCCGAGGCTGTCCGAGAAGAAGTGCATCGGGCGCTCCAACCAGAGGTTCCCGTCACCACGGTGGCACCGGAGGAACCGACGTTGAGCTACGCAGCGATGGCCCGACGACCGCCGCAAGCTCCCCGCCAAGCCACGTCGCCACCCCGAAGAGACGCCCAAACGCCGCAGTACCCCCGACGAATGGAAGATCAGGCGCCGAGGAAGACAGACGTCTGGAGGACGGCCGACCGACGCCCGCTGTGTTACCACTGCGGGGAAGCTGACCATGTGTACCGCCGATGCCCATACCGACGACTCGGGCTGCGCGGGTTCCACCCGAACGACCCGCGACCCCGTTACGGTGAACGCCCTCGGGAAATCGACGAGTACCTGCGACGACCTCAGTCCCCCGAGCCTGCGTTCCGCCGAGAGTTCCGGTCACCTTCGCCACGACGTCCAGCTTCGCCGATGCACCGACCCCGACGTGAAAGCCTGTCGCCCCTCGCTCCACGCCGGGGAAACTAGGCGCGGCAACCCCTGGAGGTGGAGTTGCCGAAGACGACCGACGCCAAGATCCTCCACGAACGTCGGAGGGCCCCCACTCGAACGCTACCGGAGACCGAAACGACGCCCCTGAAACGGTGTCCAACAACCTAAACGTCATCATCGACGGCCACGACGCATCGGCACTGGTGGACACCGGAGCAGACTACTCAGTCTTGAGTGGGAGGCTCTCCCGCCACCTTCGAAAAGTCACGACGCCGTGGGATGGACCGCAGATACGAACCGCCGGAGGACACCTCATCACGCCTGTTGGAAGGTGCACCGCTCGCGTCGAAATTCACGGCGAGACGTGTCCTGTGAAATTCGTCATTCTACAAGACTGTTCCAGAGACGTCATTCTCGGCATGGACTTTTTGTGTGAATACGGCGCCGTCATCGACCTTGGAGAAAACAGATTGACGCTGCGGACACCTGTTCCGCCTTCAGAGAAACTCCAAACTGCGTCAGCCGCCGTCCGAGTCGCTGCCGACCACGTGAATCTGCCGCCGCGATCAAGTGTTGTCGTACCCGTCGTGACCGATGCAGCTACCCGTAGCGAAGTTCTTCTGGAAGGTAACCTCCAGTTGCTCCTGGGAAGAGGAATAGGCGTCGCACGAGGAGTAGCTGAACTTCAGGATGGCCGCACTGTGGTCCTCGTGACGAACTTCCGGAATGAAACGCAACACCTCACAAAAGGTGCCGCCGTTGGCCACGTCGAGGATCTCCGAAACTCCGCCGAAATCGCCGCCATTACTGATGAATCCTCGCCACCTCAGCAAGACGGTACGTCGCCAGCGCAACTCGACATCGACCCTAAGCTTCCGGACCCGAAACGACGGCAGCTGATTAACCTCCTCGCCGAATACCGTGACTGCTTTGCGACGTCGTCGAAGGTACGCCAAACAGCCGTTGCGAAGCACCGCATCATTACCGAGGACGACGCGCGCCCTGTGCATAGATCACCGTACAGAGTCTCCGTTAAAGAAAGGGAGGTGATCCAGGAGCAAGTTCAAGAGATGCTGAACGACGACATAATCCAGCCATCAAGCAGTCCGTGGGCCTCTCCAGTCGTACTGGTTAAGAAGAAGGACGGAACGCTTCGGTTCTGCGTGGACTACCGGCAGCTGAACGCGGTGACGAAGAAAGACGTCTACCCACTCCCCCGAATCGACGACACGTTAGACAGGCTGCGCCACTCTCGATACTTCTCATCGATGGACCTGAAGAGCGGCTACTGGCAGATCGAAGTCGACGAACGGGACCGAGAGAAGACAGCTTTCGTCACGCCAGATGGGCTGTACGAATTCAAGGTGATGCCCTTCGGACTGTGCACGGCTCCAGCAACTTTCCAGCGTGTTATGGACACCGTACTGGCAGGACTGAAGTGGCAGAGCTGTCTGGTCTACCTCGACGACGTCGTGGTGTTTTCCAGCGACTTCGAGGAGCACTTGCGACGACTCCGAGCTATTCTTCAAGCCATACGGACCGCTGGACTCACCCTCAAACCGTCAAAGTGTCGGTTCGCCTATGACGAACTGAAGTTTCTAGGTCACGTGGTTAGCAACGAAGGCGTGCGCCCAGACCCTGAGAAGACTCGCGCCGTCGCGTCATTTCCAGCGCCGACAGACAAAAAGGCCGTGCGAAGATTCCTTGGACTTTGCGCCTACTACCGTCGCTTCGTTCGGGATTTCGCACGGATTTCCGCACCGCTCACAAACCTCACGAAGGACGCCGAGAGGTTCGAATGGGCCGAGGAACAGCAGCAGGCATTCGACGAGCTAAAGCGACGACTCCAGACGCCTCCTGTTCTTGGACATTTCGATCAGGATGCGGACACCGAGATTCACACTGACGCAAGTAACGCAGGACTTGGCGCGGTACTAGTTCAAGTACAAGAAGGCACCGAACGAGTCATCGCCTACGCAAGTCGGACACTGTCCAAGGCAGAGAGAAATTACTCCACGACTGAGAAAGAATGCCTTGCGGTCGTCTGGGCAATCACGAAGTTTCGTCCGTACTTGTACGGAAGCCCGTTCCGCGTAGTCACGGACCACCACTCGCTCTGCTGGCTTGCGAACCTCAAGGACCCGTCAGGACGCCTCGCTCGATGGAGCCTCCGGCTACAAGAGTTCAACATGACTGTGGTTTACAAGTCAGGACGCAAGCACAGCGACGCTGACTGCCTGTCCAGGGCCCCTGTCGAAACACCTTCCGGCAGCAGCGACGACGATGATGACGAGTGCTTTCTAGGGGCAGTGAACACCGATGACATGGCACGACGTCAACGAGACGATCCAGAGCTGCGA